TATGCAATGTGTTAATTATTGAAACTGTCCTACCAATTTGATTTGAAACTGTCTCATTGCTATTTGTTTCTCAATAAAATTATGGAGAAAAAAAGCTAGTGTCATATCTTCTCAGAGATGGTGGTGGTGGCAGCAGCAGGCTGGCCTCTGTTCTTTATTTTCTTTCCTTCTAGTATATGGTCTACAGGGTCTCACTACATAGATTGGACTCATAGTGATTCTCCTGTTTTCAGCCTCCCAAGTGCTGGGTTTACAGGTGTGCACCACCATGCCCAGTCTCGGCTCAGCAAGCCCCAGGGGCAGGGCCGGCACAGCAGGCCGAAGATCAAGCTCTGACCCCTGCATTTGCCTAAGCAGGTACTTTAGTCCACTGAGCTATCTGGCCTTTTCTTTTCATTACAGGGTCTCACTATGCAGTTCAGGCTGGTCTTGAGCTCACCTTGTAGCCCAGGCTGGTCTCAAACTCACCATGATCCTCCGGCCTCAGCCTCCTGAGTACTGGGATTACAGGTGTGTGCCACCAAGCCCGGCCTCCCTATTCTTTAGAATTGGGCCTGCTAAGGCACTAATCATGCTAGCAGGGGCTCTTCCCACCCCTCTCCTGTTCATCTAGTTCTTAAGATGCTAACTATATACTGATATTTCAGTATTCGCTTCTACTTCTCCAGTTACAGCGTCTTCTATCTGGTGATTCCATACAATATAGTACATTCTATTTGTTTAAAAAGAAATACAGTTTTTGTTTCCGGACTGAACCCTGTGTGGACATTTCAACTGAGATAGTTACAGCAAAATATTCACTAGATTACTCTTCTCACTTGTTGGTATACTTAAAATATTGACCAATAAAACCAAAGAGATAAAGTTCATCTGAAAATCTGGATAGGGCTTTTGTTAGATGATGAAGGCAGCTGTTGATTCCTCCATGTAGTAAGCTGGTGCTGCTTCTAAAACACTCCCAATACCCAAGTCAGTCAGCCAACCAACCAAGCACAAAGCCTAGTTTTCACTCAGTATCTAGAAAAGGTTCTTTATACATATGTAAGTGCCACAAGGCCAGGTTAAGTAAACAAAATATGGTCTCTATGGGGAAAAAAAAAATAAAAAAGTTCTATAGGGAAAACCTGCCTGTCTCATCTTACAGAGTAGAAACCTGAAGGCAAGAAGGGTAAGTTATCCAAAACCATGTGATAAAATTAATGGGAGTCAAAACTTTCCCATTACTCATTCATAATATTGAAAACCAAGTATACCAGGCAATTTTTTTCATTGTACATGACAGGAAGTCAATGGGCGTGAGGAAGAAAGGTATTTGTTACCTCCTATAACTAAAAACCAAAGGATGATTGCATTGAGAAGCTGGAGAAAGGGCATAAGGAGTCTTTTCCTTTTCAGTGTTGGCTTCATCTTCCGACAGCTTCTGTGTAAGGCAGCCAAGCTGACCACTGGAAGATCTAGACAAATCCTGCCTGTGCAGCACCTTCCCCATGAATTCCAGCAAAAGTACTGGAGCCGACCAGCCAGGATGAAGCTGCAGGGACTGACGATGGTGGAAAGATAGTTCCTCTAGGAAACAGTAGGGTGCTATTACCAAAAGAACCCAATAAGTGAATGCTGAGCAGGTCCAAATGTGATGATCAACTGGCCTCTTGACTCCTGAAGGCTGCCAGGTAGAGAGCTGACACAGCTGGTGAGTACCTGAGCCACCACTTGAGTCAATGTCTTAAGTAGTGTAAGATTTGTAGTGAGTTTATAAAAATGGGAGTAAAAAAACCTTAAGTCTCTCTCTATTCTCAGAAGATATAGTATAAAACACAATGAATTACAGCTGTATACTGCCTTTCAAATTAGGATGCACTTTGAAAGTTTCAAATTTGACTTTCCAAATGCTATATATATATTAAAGCCAAGCTTATAATAGTTTGACATAACTTAAAAAACACTACACTGTAAATATCCAGGGCCTACATTTAAAAACAAATATAAATCATATATCATAAATGTTATGCTTTAAAAATTTATGCTATAAAAGTATATGTCCATTTTAACTTATTGGATTATGCCTGACATGCTGATCTACTCAAATACTTTAAGCAGCTGTTGGTGGCTTAGAAAATAAGCCAAGATACAAAAATTGAAATGCTCCCACCAGTGTTTTTGTCTTTTTGAGACAGGGTCTTGTTCCGAGCTCAGGCTGCACTTGACCTCACTCTGCAGCCCAGGTTCTCCTTAAGCTCCTGGTGATCCTCTTGCCTCAGCCTCCCAAGTGATGTCTTAGTTTATTGGTTCCACCAGAGCTTTATCTTTCAATTTTGAATCATCAAAGGTTCAAGCTGGACATTCTTGAGTGACTAAAACCCTTTGTAGACATGTTTGTTTTTTATTAACTTTATTGAAAATCTATAATTACATATCATATTAAAAATTGTAGATAAATATTGAAATGTGAAATATATAAAATGTAGAACAGTGATTTTTAGAGAAATAGTTCTGAAATGAATACGTCTCATGAGATTAATTAGATTGCACACTGTAAATAAATTATTTACAAACTTAAATAAATATAACAATAAAAACTGTCCAAAAAATGAAGAAAGAAATCACAGATTAGTCATATAATAATTCACTCTGTGTCAAAATCCAGAAACTTATATTCATACAATTAGAATTCTCCAAGTAGAAAGGGGTAGGCAATAAATATTTAAAGATTCAAAATTTCTGAATTTACTTGAACTTATAACACCACATTTCAATGTAGACATGTTTAAAATGAGATATTTAACGGGACCTGCAATGAAAGTTTGCTTTCACCCAAACCTGCAGAGAGTGACATCTGCTGGTCACAGAGATTACATTTCTATCCTGGCTGCACATTTTTGAAATTTATCAGTGATCTTAATTATACAGTAAAAAACACAAAAAAATTCTATTCTTTGGCAAAAATAACATATGTATCAATATATGTGCACTATTGTGGGAGTTTTCATTAAAAAAATGAAAATTTCTTCTTTAACTTAGTGAATACACAGCACTTCTCTATCAGGAGAAAATAAACTGCTGTACAATTTGAAAATAAAAAACCCAGGTAGCCATTTCCTTAAAACTGTCCTTCGGCCGGGTATGCCAGTCCATGCCTGTAAACCCAAGTACTTGAAAAGGTGAAACAAGAAAACTCCAAGCTCCAGGCCAGCCTGGCCAGTAACTCAGTGAGACCCTGTCTCCCTCCTAACAGTGCTTTCCTAGCAAGCCCAAGCCACTTGGCTCGATCTCTATTATCACAAAAAGAAGAAAAAGGTCCAAAGGGGTAATTTCGGTTTTTTGGCTTCTGGAAGCCTTTATCTTTTCTTGGCTTAATTCCTAGCCTACTGTACCACTTGATAGTGTATGCTTAGGGGCCTTTTATGTATTGTGTCAATAAGTTACATGGAAACTTGGAATCAGAGAATTCCTGTGTTTACCAAACAGTGGTACTTTATGTTTTCTGCTTAATTTAGAAACATATTTTCAAATGCCTCCTTAAAAGTTAAAATAGCAAAAAGATTTTAATACACAGAATTCAGTATACCATAATTATAAAAGGAAAGAAAACACAACTCTGCTAAATTTTACAATGGCATTAAGAGTACGCTAAAAAATTAGACATGAGAAGTGTATATTGGCTCACAGTGACTTCTGCTGTACCTGTAGCTTTTGCTCAATGATCTCTGAGAAACGAGGAACTTTTTTTGAAATGGCCACGCGGATGTCATCACTCATGTTAAAGCAGCTTCTGGACTTGGCTTTGAAATGTAAAAGTGACGAGAGTCCCAGCTCACAAAGGTACGTAGTTGCAAATGGTATAAGGATTTCTAGCGCTACCTTTGCCAGGGCTGGAAACACTGTCAACTGAGCACACCAGAAATCCTCAAGCTTCATTGTTTCAAATTCCATTAGGATTTGGCCACTAGCTCGTAATTCAGCAAGATCGTTTTTCATTGAATAGCCATCATTGACAAAGTTGAGGTTAAAAAGAAATGGATCCAGGATCCATCTGCTTGCCTCATCAAGATCTCCGACAGAAAAATATAAGTGGGAGAAATCACTCAACTGTTGCAAATGCAATGCTATTTCCGCTGCAATGCATAGTCCTTCATTATTGGAGACAATTATTTCTTCAAGAAAAGGAAAATTGGTAAAATTTCTTTTCTCAATTTGTTTTTGCCAAAATGCAAACTTCCTAACAAAAGCAGATAACTTTTCTCTAGCTGAGACTGTGTTCATCCCAATCCTTTGCATTGATGCACTAAGTTCATTTAGGTGTTTGAATAAATCTGCAAGGTATGCTAGGTGAATTTTAAATTCTTTATTTTCAAAGCTATCAATTAAATCACTGCTTTGGTGATGGAGAAACTGATTTATTTCTTCATACATTTCAAAACTATGAGTAAGGATTTGGCCTCGGGAAAGCCACCTCATTTCTGTATGGAAAAGGAGGACATTATATTCTATACCAATTTCTTCAAAGAAAGTCTGAAAGAGGCGATGATTCGGTGCTCTCCCTTTGATGAAATTGGTCACCCTCACCATGGTAAACAATGCGTCCCTCAGTTTCACAGGCAATGTCTTGATGACAAGCGCATGGGGGTTCAACAGACAGTGTGTGATCGTGATGTGAGGTGCCTCTTTTTTCACAGAGGCAATAAATTCGGAGTTCTCTCCCAGCATAGAGGAGGCACCATCAGTACAAACAGAGCCACATACATCAAGTGCTATCTTGTGCTTCCGAAAGAAACCTCTAAGAACATTGAACACATCTACGCCTTTCGTGGTTAACTGCAATGGTTCACAGAACAGGAATTCCTCTACGATCTCTTTTTCTTTTATATATCGCACAAATGCCATCAGCTGACTGCAGTCGTCCATGTCCGCTGTCTCCGCAAGCTGAATACCCACCCTGAGAGGACTGGTTCTGATATCTTCTAGCACCTGCTGCAAGATATCCTGACTCATTTCATCAATTCTAGAATGGATCACATCATCTGACAAAGGTACCTGTTCAAGCTTCTTCTGCGCATCTGGGCCCAAAACTATTTGTGCTATTTCCAGTGCACAAGGTTTGACTAATTTCTCAGCTATCGTATGAGGATTCTTCTCCTTGGCACATAAATACGCAAACTGGTATGATGCCTGTAACAAGGTGTCTTCATGAGATGCAACTCCAAGTGCTTTCAAAGTTTCCCTCTGGTGAGACGGCGCTGGCAGGTGGCTACTGAGATCATGCCCAGCTATCCCACCATGCTGTCTGTTAAAATGGTCTGACAGTTTTGATGGCCTGAGGTCAGCATTTGAAAATACTGAGTTGCACAATACACACTGCGGGCATTGCGTTCCATCAACCTCTGTTGTACAGGTGAACCAGTAACGAACGTAGTCATCATCCCATTTGCGTTTCTTCGACATGACACACAAAAAATTTGCACGTAGTAATCCAGAGATGAGACAGAACTTTCCTCTGAGGGTAAAATATAGCCCACGTGTTAAAAACCCACTGCTACCTGAATTCAAGCAAAATCTGATCACACGCTATCTTGTCATCACATACTGTTATGTACCTGCCAAGAATATCCTGCAACAGGTCAGTTCTAAGCCACAACAGTATGACAATCTTACAGCCAACAACTCAGAGCAAAGGCCCTGGAATAAATGACCCACCAAAGTCAGACACGGGAGATCGGTGCCAAGGCAAATAATGAACAACTATAAATCCTTTTAGATAACTGCAGCTATAGCTTAATTTGCTTTCAATAATACTTGTCTGAAACAAATGTCGCCTAGAAAGGCCATCTCCTTAGCACTCCCTTCTTTCATTCTGCCCTAAAAATGTATGCACATCCTCAGTTAAGAATCACTGAATTAGGGCCGGCCAAATAGCTCAGCAGATTAAAGTGCCTGCAAGCAGGTGCAGGGGCCCGGAGTTCCATTCCCAGGCGTGCTGTGCGGGCACCACCCCAGGGCCGAGACAGAAATTGAGACTGAGTGGTGTGGTGCGCCTGTAATCCTAGCTCTTGGGAGGCTGTAAACAGGTGGATCACTATGAGTCCGATCTAGTAATGAGATCCTGAACACCCTGTAGACCCTTCCCTAAAATACACACACACACACACACACACACACACACACACACACACACACACAAAGAATCGCTGAATTGCCAGGTGTGGGGGGAGCCAAGACTTTCCAATATTACTTACCTAGGCTTTCCAGTGTTGGAGAATCTCACATTTTTCACTTACTTCTCTGTGGTATTTAAGAATAACAATAGCCTAAAATGTAAATATTAAAAAAAATTTATCATGAGAAATTATTGGTTTAAACAGGCATGAGAATGTATGTACTCACTTGCTGGAGACACAGACTTTACAAGTGAAGTGATCTGGGGTTTCTTCTGAAATGTTTTAATGTACTAAATGTTTTAAGTACACACATGAATGTACGCATAACGTGGGATGGAGCTACTGATGTAAGGCTGGTAACGGAGCTGGAAGACGGGTACACATTAAATTATTTTCATTGCTGTTATGAATGGTCAGAGCGCCAAGCATAAAAGAGCACTAGGATACCATTCATTTTTAGAGCAGTTATGTCGAGCTATCCTGGGGCGAATGAACAATCTGATACAAAGTAAAACGTTTTTTGCAAGCGTATGCGGCATAGATATGAAAAAGTTCATGGCTGAGGAAAAAAATCAGTTGCAAGTGAACGCTTACGTAATAGGAACATCTGGGACATGATAATGCATGTATTCCAGGAGTGAAGACTCCAGAGTGCAGCTGCAAGCCTCCACCCAGCAACCACTGGCAGCTCACACCTCCTGCCTAGGCGAGTTCAGGGTAGGCGTGGCGTTTGGGGGCATTTTAGTTAAAATCAATGACCAGAAGTCTCATCAATAGACCAGGGCGGGGGTGCCGTAGTGGAGCGGTCGCCCCTGAAGCAGAGCCGCAACCTCTGCTCGACCAGGTTGGCGGTGACAGCACCTACCTTGCAGGGCTGTGGGACTCTGATTATGCGAAGGCTCGCCAAGAGCGAGCTCACAGCTCTGCACACGGGGGCGGACAGCAGCACCGTGAGAGGCGCGGACAGCAGCACCGTGAGAGGCGCGGAGCGGCGCAGGCCAGGGATGCTCGGGCTCCGCACGGGCGCCAGCTCCCCTCTCCTGCTCGCTGGCCCAGAGCGCTGCAATGCAATCGGCCTTGGTGGCTGTGCCTCAAGATCAGCCCTGGAGCAGGAACTCAAGGGGCGCGGGGACACCAAGGCGGACTGACAGCGACGCCGCTCCCACAGGGCCGGGGCTCCATCCGGGTCCTGCGCTGCTTCCCACACGCAGAAGGGCAGGCGGCTCTCCTACGCAGGCGCAGTAGCGACTGGCGGGGGCTGGGGCTGCAGAGGGTGCATGCGCGTTCGCCCTCCCTATTTTTTTTTTTTTTTTTTTTTTTTTTTTTGTATTTTGGGTTTGTTCTGTGGCTTGGGTTCATGGTGTTGTAAATATTTTATTGTATGGACACAGGGTGACTCTCAGGAATGGAAGACACTATATGGTTCACATGGTTTTTCAGAATCAGACTGAATAAAATTTTATACTGTGACAGGATTTGAGCTTGGAGGTGGTAAAGCTGCAGTGGTTAGCATGTTCGGCTTCGGTACTCCTGAAGATCCAGGCCCAAGGAAGGCCCAGGCATTAAACTCCACCCGCACACAGTGGAGAACCGGCTTCCACAGCCTGCGGTTGTTGCCACGCAGGTCATCCCCCGCCCTGAACTGGAGCACGCATGTGAATTTATCCTGACGATTTCATGTAAAATTATGTTTTGAGACTTGTCACTATGTGGCCTAACTGGCCTTGATCTTGGATCCTCTCACCTCAACCCCCCAAATACTGGGATTACAGGCCACAGCACCGTACACTGAACTACAATTCTTTTCAGCAAAATGATTTATAAGTAATAGATCCAAGTTGAGACATGGTGATGCACGCCTAAAATCTCAGAACTCTGGAGGCCAAGGCAGGAGGATCACTATGAATTCGAGGCCAACTTGGGTTACGTGGTGAGTTCAAGGCCAGACTGAATTACATATTTAGACCTTGTCTCAAAAAACCAAGACCAAAACACACACCCACAGAACCGCAAAGGCAAAAGTAATAAACCCATATATAGCCCTTTTCAGCCATTTTCTCCCAGTTTTATTTAAGATTAGTACCTGATTGTGGTGCTCGACAGATACATTCACTGTGGGTAGCAGACACATGTACATGACACTCTTAATTCTCCTCAGATCCCTTTCCCCTCTCTCCATTTCTAAGAGTTCTTTCAAAATTTTTCTTCTTTTAGTCTTTGAAGCTTTCCAAAGGCTGCTTCCTGGGACAAGGAAAAGTTAGAGAAGGGTGTCCAAGAATATGGGCAGCTGTGTCACTTTCCGGGGATGAGGGCCAACGTGGCAAGCTCTTAAGGCCCGCTTAAAGCCTGTGTCAATGGAAGAAACTGCAGAAGACCAGCCTCAGGGTCCAGACAAAAACCAGGGCCTTCAAAAGTAAAGGGCAGCTTTCACAGTCAGATACCTGGCTTGTGTCCTGGCTACAAAGCCTTTAAGGAATCCAACAAACCATTTGCAGCTAGTGCTAATTGTAAAACAATGTTGGCCATCCACTATCTCTCTTTTTTTTTTTTTTAATTTATTTATTTATGTGTGTGTGTGTGTGTGTGGCCAGCTCAGCCCACCAGGGGGCGGGGCTGGCTGGCATGTGGTGCTGGGGATTGAACCG